TATCTCACCTTCAAAATGTCACCTCTTTTGAAGCTCAGCTCATCGTCGGCCGAAGCAGTGAAGTCGAATTTTGCGAGTGCTTCCATGTTTTTAAACGTTATGGTTTCCCAGCCTACTGAGGATCCTTGCTCGTAATGACGACTTTTCCGCCAAGAAAAGGTGGGTGGGTTGTCCCGTTGTTTTTCTTCGACTCTTGCGTAATGACAATCAATTGGAGGGTTTAAAAAGACAGATAACAAGCAACGTTCACAATTTTCAAAGGTGGTTGAAGTGTTTCCAGGGTTTGGAGTTAAAATGCTAGTATATTAACCCAAATCGGTTCTCCACGTCCGAACACAAAGTCATTTCCCTGTTTCGTGAGGTATGATCTAGTTATGATATCCGTCCGCCAGCAGGAAGTGGGTGGTTTAAATACAGAAATTAATTAAAATTCACTCTTGGAATTATTAAAAGTACAATACGTAATAGAAGTTAATATTTATTGTTTTCAATTGGCGGCGAGTTCTTGCAAACAATGAAATGCACTGGTTATTTAAAGTACTTTCTTTCATGGCGGAAGAATACAACGTTAGTGATGTTGTGTGGAACTTGTAGTGAAAATCAACGCAGACTTGTGTGTACGAATGAGGCCAATTCGATTGTGGAATTCAGGGACAGAATTTGTGAAACCTTTCGGTAATTTGGACCATAAAGTGAATATAAATATGAGTTTGGTGATCAATCCCTGTTTGTTAGGACATTTAATCAAAAATACTGAGAGCAAGTTAAATCAAACATTTCTGTTGGAGGAAAGAAGGGAATAACACACATACACGCCGGAACAACATGGCGGAGGCGGTTAATTTGTGTATAGACTTTTTTCTACAGTCCAAGTTTTTGCAATCTTTGAAGAAAGTATTTCTGCTTTCTGCCGAACTTGTGGTTTAACCGATATACCAGGTACACATGTGCTTAGTATCGTGCAATATAGTGTTTGCATTATTACGTAAGAGTGGAAAGTCGACGAGACTGACTTGGGGATCGCTGTATTTGTACAATGTATTAATATTCCAATGCGTCAGTCAATAATTACCGGACAGCCCCGCGGAATGTCTATCGATACGTCCCGAAGTAATGAATCTACAGCCACTTGAGGGCTGTAAATCGATCAGCACTTGTCATCATCAATTCCTGAGCCTTGTTGGTAACTGGACAACTGGACCCCGATACAACTAGACCCCAGACAACTGGACCCCCTCATACGTGACGGGGGTTAACCCGTGACGGCACTGACGGGATGAGTTGTCCAGATCTGTAAATAAATCGATCTGATAATTAACAATGGAGTACATTTCCAATGAAATGGCTATTTGCACGTAATGGTGATCGGCGGTACAACTCGCTCAGACCGGTTTAGAGGTACCGAGATGTGTTAAATTTTATCAATTTATTTATCAAAGTCATGATAAACGAAACAGATCTAGACAACTCGTTCCTTCACATATACAGGGGTCCAGTTGTCTAGAAACCTCCTTGCTGGCTGTGGGTGCACCACTCATATGCACTTTTATTCGCCATAAATCTCTCTCACCAGTCATCTTCGCCAGCTCACCCTTACTTCTCCCACTCCCATTCCTTCAAATCATCACTCCATTGTCTCTGCGGACATCCCCTTCCCTTCCTCTTGCTCCTTCAATCATGGCAACCAGACCATCTGTGACCATCGCATTTCTACCCTCTTTTCTTATTTGATGGCCATAAAATTTCATTTTCCATCTCTCAACCATATCAACCATTGTCTCTATTTACTGTCCACCCAAATTTTCTCTGACCAACTGCAGCACATATACATTTGTCTTCTTCTTTCCTTTCCATGAAATATCAAGCAACCGTCTGTCTCAAATGCTGCCAGTTTCTTCTCATTTATCTTGCTCAATATCCACCTTTTGCACCCATGTTGAATTAACTATCGCTCTGAGCAATTCGAGTTTATTTACCATTTTTAAGCCTTTAGCCTTCCAAATTGTATTCAGCTTTGCAAACGCAGACGTTGCTTGTCCAATGCAGTCAATCACCTCTTTTTCAGACTTAGCATTTTCCGTAATTGTAGCGCCTAGATACTTGAATATCTTCACTTGCTCTAATTGGTATTCTTCAATATGTATGATTGCTTGCTGAGATTCACAGTTCGCTCCTACAACCATCACTTTGCTTTTCTCCTTGCTTATTTTCATACCATATTTCTTTGAGGTTTTATCAAGTCAGTTAGTGAACTCTTGTAATTCACTTTCTGTGGCTGCCATCAATTCTATATCATCTGCAAATCTCAAGTCACATATCTTCATTCCACCACAACCAATTCCTCCTTCAAAGTCATCCAGTGCATTAGTCATTATTCTTTCATGAAAAAGATTAAATAAAGTTGGTGATAATATGCAACTTTGCCTCACTCCAACTGTAGCTTGGAGCCAGTCTTTGTATTGATTGCCAACAATAACTTTTGTTTTGGCATTTACATACAACTTTTGTATTGGGTTAGTCATATGTGTTCCAATGTTGTACTTTTTCATTGTGTGCCACAAAACTTCATGTGCAACATGATCAAATGCCTTCTTAAAGTCAATGAAGTTGTGAAAAATTACGATCAGTACTATTTATTATTAATTTCATCCCAATTAATCGGAAGCTGGACGTTTCGGTTCTGGCCCATTCGGCCCTTGTAAATAATAGACGATGCGGTTGAGGTTTTGGACGTTACGGTCATAGGGTATTAATTTCATAATTAATTTAAATTTAATTTAGCATATTTTACTTATCATTACATACATTGCTACTACCTGTCCATATAAATAGCTACATTTTTACATTCTGCCAAACGTTATGAATTCATTCACGAACATCACCATAGAAACACATTCCAACAATGTCCAAGGTCAATGTCTTTGACATGTTAAGTAATATGTATTCTGTAATAAAAAATGACATTGTCAAGCTATCATAAAACCACTCATGCATTCGTCTGTCCACCTCTGTATCTCAGACATGCCTGAACCAATTACATTCAGACTTCATATACATGTATGCATCATATTTTATATCAAAATCAATCATTTCTGTCATTTTGAAAATCAATCTCGGTTGTGCATGGACAGATTTTGTTCAAATATTGTACATATATTGAATATAATTGGATCTATATGACCTCATTTTTTTTTCAGATTGGATTCAAATGATTGGTGGGCACTTTGTATTAATGTATGCTGTTTCTGAGCCATATCTCTGACATGGAGTAACAGATCATAATCAAACTACATACACTTCTTGTCACAGATACACTTGACACTTCAATTAAAGATGATTGAATTACAGGAATGTTAAAGATCATCAAAATCACTTTCCTTCTAGACACAGATTTCAGTCAGGGGTGCATGGACAGATATACAGTAGTTTAAAATTGGTACATACAAGTACAACGAACATTTTGCAGCTACCCTGTCTGTGTGTCAGTATGTCTGTATGTATGTATGTATGTATGTCACTTTTTTTGTTCCATCGTTATCTCAAGAACCACTAATCAAATTTTGATGAAACTTGTTACATAGATGCACTGGGCCAATGCACAGATTTGTTATGTTTTGGTAAAAATCTATGCATATTTATTACCTAATTTGCATGATAATTAATATTCATGACTGTTCCACTGATATCTAAAGAACCAGTCATTTGATTTTGATGAAACTTGGTACATAGATGCTCTGAACTTATGTGCAGATTTGATTAGTTTTAGGTAAAAATCTGTGTATATTAATTAGTTAATTTGCATAACGATAAGTCAATTTTCAGCTTTTCCACTGATATCTCAAGTACTAATCATCAAATTTCAATGAAACTTGGTACACAAATGGCATAGAACACTGCACAGACCTGGTATTTTTTAGGGTAATATCAGTACATATTACGTAATTACCTAATTTGCATAATTAATCAATTTTCAGCTTTTGATATCTCAAGTAGTAATCATCACATCCCAATGAAACTGTGTACCGTACATAGATACTCTAGGACTATGCAGAGATCCATTATTTTGGAGTAAATATTTGTGCATATTAATCACCTAATTTGCATAATTAGTTAATTTTCAGCTTTTACACTGATATATCAAGTATGAATTATCACATTTCAATGAAACTTGGGACATAAATCCTGTAGGACTATGCAGAGACCTGATTTATTTTTGGGGTTAATAATTATCTAATTTGCCTAACTAACCAATTTTCAACTTTACTGATATCTCAAATACTACTCATATCTCAATAACATTTGGTCCATATATGTAATAGACAGACCTGATTAATTTGGGGTTAAAATCTGTACATATTAATTGCCTAATTTGCATAATTAAATCAATTTTAAGCTTTCACATTGATATCTACAGTACTAATTATTCAATTTCAATGAAACTTTGTACATAGATGCTCTAGTTCAATGTGCAAACCTGATTAGTTTTAGGTTAAAATCTATTATTCCCATAATTAGCATAATAATATATAATTTTTTGGTTCTAATCACATTTCAATGAAACTTGGTACATGGATGGTCTGTTACATTGTCTCTTGTCTTCAATACTCTCAGCACACAGGAGTTCTTTCTAAGTTTTCTTTGATTTTGAGATTGAATTCAAAATAAGCGACTGGCTTACATTTTGTATTAACGAATGACATTCCAGACTGACTTACCTTGACTGATTCACTATTGCTAGGTTCACATTAAGGGATGTCGGCACGTACCAATATTGTTAATCCTTTTTGTTTGTTTGCTGACTCGGTCACCAGTCTCAGCACGTGCCGAGATCTCAGAACGTGCCGAGATCTCAGAACGTGAACATCATTATCATTGCAATCGAATGTAACACTTATATTATACTTCATATAAACAAACATTTATTTCATGTTCTGATTCACCATGACTGATTCATTACAGTTTTGTTCATTGTTGCACACCTGGAACTGTGTAATAAATAATTACATCATTTGATTACTCTTAAACATTCCTATTACTGTTTAAATTACGATATAACTGACATTCATGATAAAATATTTTTGTTTTTCACTGCAGGTCTAATGGAACTAATAATCATCACACATAATGTCATCTGAAGACAATATGGTTGGGCTTTCTAGTAGAGACGCTCTAAAGAAACTCCACACTGTCATTCAGGGAGAATTAAGATCCTACCAAAAGGAAAAGAACTGGAAATTGGAAGGAGTGCCTAGTCACTGTGGTGATTTATCATATCATCCGTACTCCACTTTGCACTGGACTAATGTCTCTATACTGTTCTTGTTTGCTGCCCTGATGTTGATTTCTTATGGGATTCTCAACAGTGCAAGGTATATGTCATCATCTTTTCAGTGTAATTCCTTTCTAGCTATATTGTGCAGCTGACAAATGTGTTGTTTATCTCATTGATTAAGTTGTATTTTGAATATACTTTTTAATACTATACAGTATTTACACTATTAGAAGCACATCTCTAAATAAAAGTACATGTAAAGCAAAATTTACATTTATTTTTCTCAGGATTATTAAAATATGACTTATTTGGATCATATGTCATGTAAGACTACACTGGTTCTGCAAATTGTAGTGAATTTAAACTATGAGATAATGGATTTGACGGTACATTCATGTATAAATTTTGTCTATTACTAGTATTACATAATGTATATTGTACACATACACTATACATATATTTTCACCATATGAACATGAAAAATACTTTATGATTTACAAACCAAAAGAAGAATTATAATTTCTTTACGGCTATAAAAAAGATTATTATTAATATATTAAAATACTTGGGGATTTTTGTTAATTAATATGTTTTGTTCATTTCCAGTAATTACCAGCTGGTTGTGGAAGCTGTTATTATACTGATTTTACTTGTAATACATATATATATTAACTATAGTGACGACAGATTGCGAAAAAAAGAAATGCAATACCAAGCTGAACAACTACTTAGAAAATTACAAGGTAAATATATTCACTTTAAGGATGTTATATTATTCTTTAGAGTTGAGTTTTTTCTTCCTTCTATTCATTGTTTATACAAATATATGTGATTTTAGTCCAGTTTTAGATGAAGTTTATTAATTTGGATTCCATCCGTCTGACAAGTCCCAAGCATGCAATGACCGATCACATTCAAACTTAACACACAGACCATATATGATGACTCACATTATGCACATCAATTATTTCATTACCATTTGAACAAATATGGCTGATTGGTCCTCAAAATTTTGCTAGATTCTGATACTTGTGTCTGCTGTTGAATTTGTTGAATTGACAGCTATTTTGCCAATAAACCTGAAATATAAACATGTCCAGAACTTGTCTTCCTAGATGAACAGAGTGATTCCATTCAAACTTTGTTTCATGATCATGCATATTGAGTTATAAGTACATGTCATTTTTTTGATATTTGTTTTGTACGTGTATTTGTTATTTTCAATGTCTAATTATGTAAAAATTTCCACACATTGCCTCAAAATATAAAAAGTACCAGGAAATAACTCAGACACCCTGCAACCTTATTCTGACTCACATTTTCCAGATAGACAACTAAATTTTGTTACAAACATTGAAAAATGTCTGTATTGTGCATCACAGGTCATCCCGAGGTCATCGTGTAAACAAAGCATGGGATCAAAACAGATAGAAGTTTGAGAAATACAACTTCAAAATGTGATTCCTGACGCCAATTCATCAATTCAAATTATGGCAAAAAACAATCTGTTAGATTCTAGAAATTCACTTGGCTGGATCATAACGCCAACAAGAAGAATAACTACAGACAGAATAACTGTTTTCTCTCATTTTCACTACTGCTTGTGTTGAAATTCAATGCCATTATTATTGATTTCTTGTCCTGTCGTTTTAATTTTGACAACTCATTGAAAACAAACTACATGCTCCAATTTTGTGGTTTGCAATGAATAAAAGTCACACTAAACTAAATTTAAAATATTACTTCAGGGTGTATCACCTCCTGTGCGACCTGGGATGTGAAATTATACCCAGATTTGAGTACACCGCAGTCAAGATCAATATCATTGCAGTGGACATTCAGGGACAACTGTCTTGTCAATTTACCTTGCAATCTACTTGTCAGTGGTGATACTATTGCACTACGTCCTGGTCAGCTTGTACCTGTCAGAGTTAGAGAGGCAAAGGTGAGAGAATCGTATTGTGTTTCGTTAGAAGCTTTAATTCGCCTTGTACAGTATCATGATTCCCTGGGGGCATTCTTTATTATTGTCATAAATCATCACTATCAGAATTGGACAAATTTACCATAGTTAATTTGGGGGGCTTTTGGTTGAAATGAAATGACTAGCAAATATAAGTTTTTATTATTGTGTTATTATGTAAAGCTAAGATGTCATAAAAGCCGCTAATTCTGGTTAGTTTTTTGTCCCCGTTCGGACATAGTCCGAAAACGGGGACTTATGGTTTGCCCTGTGTGCGTCCATGCGTTCGTGCATCCGTTCAAACTTCACTCATACATCAAACATTATATGGGACATATGCACATGCATTTTTTTCATGATCCAATTAACGATAGCCGAATAGCGGCCATTTTAAGGCCGAAAATGCATCAAAATTGCACATTTTCACCATTCCGGACCCGGATCTCAGTTATGCATGGACGGATTTTGTTCAGATTTAGTACAATGTGTTGTACATATGCAGGTGCATTTTGGATCAAGTGGTCTGAGATTTCGGTCATGATCTGCTTTGAATGTATATGTCTCTCAAATATGAACGGAACGGGGACGTGTCATTGACAATGTTATGACTTATATAATATAGAATAGGGATAGGAACTGCTTTATTTCATGCATCAGACTACATTTGTAATGGTGTTACATGTCGCCTGATACAAATGTAGTGTTGTTGGTATAGGATAATGGCAGAATAAACAAAAAGTTGACTGTGAAACCTTTTATGTTTTGTGTGTTTGTGTGTCAGTAAAAGGGAGATATACATGTACAAAGATTCATTTCATACTTGTTACTTTGGCTGATGTTATTTCACAATAAATAGGATTTGTTATCCTTACCTTTGAAATAATTTAGTATGAAATTTACCATTAAACTGATAAAAATAGCACTGTTATACATATCATTAGCTCAGAAAAAAATAAAAACATTTCTGGTTGATTTGCTTTCCAAAATCAGATTTATTTTAAAATTGTGATTGTTTCTGAAAATTGAATTTTATCTTTTCTCTATTTTTGGATAGTTCTGACAAACTAAAAAAATTCAAAGTCAATGGGAAGTTACTTGCTAGATTGTTCTTGATTAGCTACACAACTCCAACACCTAACTCTCAGAGAGCAGCTTATTTGTTGACAGGTTTTTTTGACATATAAAAATTCCACGAAGATGATTATTTTTTTTCTGGGCGTTAATGATGATGAGGTAGAGTAAAGAATGAATGGTAACTCTCATACTTGCCAATTGTAGCCTTCTGATGGTAATGTCAGTGTTGAACTTGAAGTTGGTGAAATGTACAACCCATGTCCTGAGGATGCCATGGAGGAAATCGAGGAAGCCGTGGCCCATGAACCGATGAAAGCTACACAGTTTATTGTATTAGAGACGCCCTATGCTGAGACACTCAGGTAAGTTATCTTGTGGGATACGTGCGCATTTGTGAAAAAAATAACAGCCGTTTCCAGTGCAGCTGATTGCCATGGATTAGAATAACAATATAATCAGGCTATGCACCATAATATAAAGTTGTTATCTGAAGAGTCCGGATGGAAATATTGATAATTACTAATACAATTAATTGTCTGAAAATATATATTGCATAAAATCATTTAGATTCACCATAGTGGGTGGGTGGTGAGTTTTTTTCAATGGATGATTTATAGACTACTCTACTATTATAAACACTAACAACCATCACTCTTGTTATACCTAATAAACAAAATCATTGTTGCTCCACTGAAAATACAATGAAATGCATGTCAAATACATTGATTACTGTAAAATACTTTATTTTCGCTTGGAATGAAATTTTGCTGAAAGATTCAGTGAACATAAAATCCAGCGTATATACCTTTTTATCTATATTTTACATTCAGTTCGTCAGAAATCAGCGAAAAATAAATTCCATACAGAACACCCAAAATATCTTTTCAGTGAAAATTAATTCCAGCTAAAATAAAGTATTTTACAGTACATAATATTCAAATGACTACTGTTAGACTAGTATGATTGCTTCTTTACTGTTTAAAGCAGTGTATTTCTAAAGGTGCAATAAAATTGCATTCACGATTCATCCAGATTGCAGGTTCTGATTTATATTGTGTTTGGAGGTCTCCTTCACATAACTGAATACAATGACTGCTGGAGTAAGCTAAATCCTGTCCACTCTCATATTGTAATGGTGTCTAAAAACCTGTTTTCTGCATTTGAATAGCTTTGCCGTAAATGGGCCTTTAAATGTGAATACCATTTTTATATTTTATATTTGCTGTATTAGAACATGTGAGACAGAGAAGTGTGTTTTGGTTAGATTTCAGAAATACCAATTCACGTATATTTATGCTGTCCTTGTGTATGTCACAGAGGCGTGTCTTTTGTCAAAATAAATTACAACTCCTCAAGGTCCTTTATAGTCAAGTGATCGCTCAATTATTTTGTGAATGAAAATGTGACAGTATTTGACAGCAATTTTTCAAGAAATATTTGTAAAAAGGGGAATGTATAAAAAAAAAAAGGCCTGTACATATATAATATGGTTTCATTAAATTTCATCTTTCATCACATGGTCATGCACTGGTCACATCAGACAGGTGGCTCTTTTTTTACAAGCCCTTGTTGATTGTATTTTAATGACCAGTATACAATAAATAGCTTTTAGTTTACAATAGTAGTACAGTAAATAGCTGTTATACATGTAGCTGTGTTCTGATATAGCAACAGTAACTGTAATTTAGTTCCATTGTTCTCTCTATATCAGTGTCATATCGATGTACTGTAAAATACTTTTCATTTTAGCTGGAATTAATTTTCGCTGAAAAGACTTTTTGCGGTGTATGGAATTTATTTTTCACTGATTTTTGACAAGTTTAATGTAAAATATAGAGAAAAGTTATATTCGCTGGATTTTATTTTCACTGAATCATTCCTTCAGCGAAAATTAATTCCAAGTGAAAATAAAGTATTTTACAGTATTCTGTAGTACACTTACTATAAATGCATTAAAATTGTATTCAATTTTACCACTTTGGAATTTAAAATAACATTTTTTCAGTAAAACAACGAGTTTCATTGTAATTTTATATATTCGCATGGATTTAATTTAGTCGATTTTAGATGAAAATAATGAAATTAAAACCCAGTACAAAGTATGAAATTTTGTTTTTACTTTTCTTGCAGGAAATGTTTATGGAACAGTATGAATAGACCATTAACTTTATTGCAGAATAAACAAATAGTGTGCAGTACTCTAATTGAGAGAAGAATTTTGCCGATTGTTTTTGTAAGTTTGATTTATTATGAATTAAAAGAATACTGCACAAAAGCAGTGCGGTGATTGTATCAACTGCCACGTAGCGGTTGATGTGTTACTGTACTGCCTGAGTGCATACTTTGTGGTATTCTTGTGGTAGCCTTATACATCTTTCCCCTGCTTGTAATAATAATTTAATGAGAAATAACAGCCCAAAATGGCAACGAAAAACGTTTTGTGATGTGCGAACTTTCACATTCAGTGGCAGAATTATATTTCCTTCACACGCTGATAGCGCTTTTGCATCGGAAGTAAACAAAAGAATGTGTTTAAATGTGACATAAACGTGACGCACAAAGCTTGACAACAACACAAAGGTTAAGCTTGACAACAGAATATCTTTGTGAAAAAGATAAATCATTATGTTATGTATTAATTTATGGCCAGTTGAGATGCGATATCACAATTAGTGCTGACTTGACGCACTAGTCAATATTCATCAGCTGACAAGAGAATGATTTTGTTACAACACCATGTATACATTACCAAAATCTATATAATTAAAAGGGCTGTCAAATATGTAGACAGTCAGAGTAAAGGTGTTTGGTTAGTTTTAAAATAAGTTAAGCTGACTTTAACTTGCACCATATGAACACTGGTGATTTAACTATATACATCTAGTCATAGACAACTTGCAGGTTTGTTCGATTACATTAGAATGCTTCTTGATCAAGTATATGTTCTGTTTCAGCTGCTATCTTTATTTGCTAATATACTACGCTATGTTAAGTTACCAGATGATATGGGACATTGGAGTACTATGATAATATTACTGCCAGTAAGTAATTGTTACTAGTGGTCTTCAATGGCCTGATAATAAGTATACGGTAGTTTATTATGTCAGTCGTATTTAGAAAGGAAAAATAGTTTTTGATTTTTAAAATAGACCTGCTTTACAATTTGACAAAATGGCCACAGATTTGATGTGCTATAATGTTACTATATTTGTTCTATTAGAAGCGTGTCACTACAAGAATTGCATATGAACTATAAATATCATTTATTGTATAGTGTACTAATAAAATATGATCTATTATGATCATAGACACATCTGTATACAACTTTTGTGCTACTAATTGAGGAATCCTCTTATATTGAGCACTAAAACTGAAAACTAGCCTGTTCATCCCTTCTTTTTTTTCAGTCTAATATTTGTAATCTATAAACTGTCAAAATATTGAGAAAACAAACTCTAGTTTATGAAAATATTCCAATTATGATTTTGTGTAATTGTTTACAACCGCCAGTATATGTATGTTTAATGTACATTGAATATTATTTATGACGCTTTTCTCTCGTTATATCTCGTTGATTCTCATGTGACTTTTATGTTCAGTAATCTGTTTTTTTTTTGTTTTTTTTCATGCTCGTGTTTTCTTCTCAGATCTACACCAGTTTACCTCTTTTACCTTTAGTCGTTCCCACTTTATGGATTGTTATCAATAGTTACGGTGTCGCGAGAATCCTGGCATGTTTTGAAAAGTCTAAACATTCTGTCAAGGTGAGTATAATCATGGACTGTATAAAAGCTTCTAACACTTGCAAGTTGCTGATTCAGAACTGGACTGCACTTCAATGTCAAATTATTAAACTTCCAAACATGCTTGCCTTGGTGTATGTAATGAATAATACCTATATGCATGCGATTCTAATTACATTGCGAATTCTTGCAAGAAAATTGAAGCTGTTAAAATCAACTGATTTTCCTGAAGTAGTACCGTTTCACCTGATGTGGGGTATAATGTTTAGCATATCTGTCCATCATCATAGAATTTGCTGGTTTGAACCCCAAAGGCTACGGTCCTGTGTGCTGTTACTGTTTTTTCAGTACAATACAAATATCAGTATCCTTCTGGTATAACTGGAACTTATCCTTAAAAAAAGGCCCTGTGGAAGATAGGTATTTGGTCTTACAGGCTATCCACTATGAATAGCAATCAAATCAAATATAAAGCAATACCTAATACTTAATTTGAACTTCTGATTATGATGTGTTATTGCTACATTGACAATGTAGTTGTAAAGTGATAAAAAGAAAAAAAAAATTAAATTTAACAGTTTTCTGTGTCAATATGTTCATATTTTGATACATTGTATTTAAAATCATTTTCAGGCACAGGTTTTAGAAGCAATGGAAACTCTGGATGAACAAGAAACTCTTATTAAGGTAAAAGCCCCTAATGATGTGGATGTTAATAGTGTTTAGAAAACCTTCTCTAGCGATACTTGTTATATGTTATAAATTACTTTATTTCAGCTGGAATTAATTTTTTTCTATGGAATTTATTTTCACTGATTATTGATGTGAAATAAAGGAAAAAAAGTATATTCGCTGGATTTTATTTTCACTGAAGCATCCCTTCAGCGAAAATAGTAAAAATAAATACCAAGCGAAAATAAAGTTTTCTACAGTAGTTCTTGGGTGATCATGCAGGATCTATAGTGATCAGTAAGCATCCTGATTGGAAAGTAGGAGAAATGTGTACATTCATAAAATTGAGTTTAAAATTTTATGACACAAAGAAAAGCTGCATGTGGAAACTAATCAACTTTCCATGCAAAATTGCACTATCTATAAAAACATTGCCAATTAAAGAAATATTATTTATTACGCATGTCAAAAGAAAAGTATTCAACCATCATGATGGATTATTTCACTTCACTTTAACATTTTTATGTACTACTGTAAAATCTGTAATAAAAGCCGCGGCTTCTATTAAAATGGTACAATGCAACAGAGGAGATGCGGCTTCTATTAAAGCATCTACACATATGCGACCTGGTGAATTTTTGGGTCTCAATTGTTCAAAAAGAATGGGTGCGGCTTCTATTGGGGATGCTGCTTCTAATACAGATTTTACGGTAGTAATTTATATTTACCAAATTTACAAAGGACAACAAGTATTCAACCATCAGATGGATTATTTCACTTAGCTTGAACATTTCTTATGTACTAGTAATTTATATTTACCAAATGATTATTAGCATTGGTTATTTGCTTGTGTGATATTTCTCCACCTGCTAAATACTAAAATTTTAAAAAATGAACACCATCAAGGGATTTGCTATGGAAACACTCTGGAGAATTATTATTAACTATGTGTATTTGTATTTATTCAGCAAAATATAAGTTTCAAGACAGTCTGGCAACATTTTTCTCCTGTTCTGTTTGGGAAATCTACTACTTTGGCAAGAACAGCCAATATTATGCAAACACTTGGAACAATGACAGTAAGTAAGTCAGACCCATTTTTGCTTATCTATGGTGAAAAAAAAAAAAATATAATTGTATGTACAAAGAATGAATGAAAACTGAAGATAGGGGACAGCTGCTAGAAACAATGAATATAATAATTTATGTAGACTGTTGTAGTTGGGAATCATTCTTTGGTAATTATTCTACATTTTCAGATGTTTTGGGATGGCCCTCATTGGTAGGGTCTGAACAGGTAGTATTAAAAGGTGAATGAGAGAATTTTTATATTGGGGCCTTTTTTGGAATGTACATTTGGTTTAGTTCCAATTGAGGCTATGATGAAATAGTAATAATAACAATAGAACAAGCGTAATGAAAAATAAAATTGGACACATTTTTCTATTTTTTTTTTTATTGTATTTTGTGGTTCATAATTAATTTCTACAAATTGATGGCTTGCGCAAACATAAACTGGTAAAGCCAAGTGAGACTTCTTTATCTGAAATGATAGTATAAAGCTGCTTTTTTTCATTCCTAGCACAACCTGTAATCTAATGTGACTATGAACGAAATTAATGTCTTTTTGTGGTCATATTTGGTATCAAATTTAAAAAATGAAACTACAATACAAACACTGCCAATGTGGCAATTGCCATGATTTATTTACAAGTAGATGTGACTTAGAGAGAACATTAGTTAAATGTTCATAAGTGCTTGTATTTGACTTTGTATGTTTGATACCTACTGGGTCATACATGCACCTTTCCCATAGTTCCAAATAGGAATATAGCTTCCGTGGCTGAATGTACATAAAAATTATGTTAAGCAACTGTCACCTTGTTCTAAAAAATATCAGTATAATATCTGTACTGTTCTTAGATAAAATTGTTGAAGTTATTTTGTTTTTCAGGAATTGTGTTGTGTTGACAAGACTGGTGTACTATCCTGGCCAAACCCATCAGTGGAGAAAGTCTTCTTCATCAGTAGTGAACCAACAGAAGATGATGATGAGGAGGAGGAGGTGGATGAAGATTTTCTGAATGAGCAGGAAGAAGAGAAGATGGGAGAAGTTAAATCAAACCATGCACTTGATAATGATTCTGTATTTGAATCTGGAAAGCAACCACAGGAGGAAGGTATTTACACCAAGTACAATTCTTCATTGGACACGAAAGCATTCATTTTATAATTTGATTCATGATGGCTGATTGGTAGCCATGCAAATGCCTCAAATTAAGGCATTTTTTTACTGTATTTGTTCTATTAGTAGCACATGTGCTTACATAAATGTGGTTTCTATGGTAAAAGTTATCCAGAATACAATAGATTCATTTTTTTGATTGATGTATGCTTCTATTGAAAGCAACACATTGTTCGCTGGAAGCCTCCACTGACGTAACAAAATCAGTGAGAAAAGAAGTCAGCACGTGTTAATGGAGCAAATATGCATTGACAGATTTTGTATCAATTTGTGCACACATGTACATAGATAGATAAAGCAATCAATATGAACTCAAATATGAAAATAAAGGGTTGTTAAGTTCTTTCATGTTATGGTGAGTTATGTATGGAGAGTTAGTATACACTTAGATTGAGGTGGCAGTGCTTCTCGAAGATGTTTTGTTGGTTGGTCTGCCAATTAAATTTGGCATTAAATCATTCTCTGCATTTTCTAGTTCTTAAAGTGTACCAATCTTTTTAGCACAGCCCTTATGTAGTGGTGTGTGTGGAGAGAACCATTGGGTGGGGGTGATGGGTCACAGATGCACTATGCAGTGATTCATAAATTAAATTCCATTTCAGATTATTTTGCTGAGTGTCATGTTGAAGTTTTAGATTTGACAGAGAATCCTATGGTATGTGATGGCATTTGTTTTTACCCATCCGCTGTTAACTAAAATAACATGCTGAGCGTAGCTAAATAGCATGCTTAGCTAGCTAAATAGCATGCTTAGCTAGCTAGCTAGCTAAATAAATAAATAAGTAAATAAATAAATA